AAAAAAAAAAAAAAAAAAAAAAAAAAAAAAAAAAAAGATAAATAAGCAAGACACAGATATATCTGCATGATCTCACTTATATGTGGAACTAGAATAGTCAGACTCATAGAAGCAAAGTAGGATGGTGCTTGCCAGGGGCTGGGAAGAGAGGAAAATGGGGTGATCTTGGTGAAAGTGGACAAAGTTTTAGTTAGGCAGGATTAATAAGTTCTGGAGATCTAATGTGCATACAGTATGGTGACAGTAGTTAACAATACTTTATTGTATACTTGGGATTTGCTAAGAGGCTAGATCTTAAATTTAATCTTCTGAACACATACACAGTAGTAACACAGTAGTGGTAGAGGTGATGGGTATGTTAATTAGACTGTAATCATTCACGATTTATATGTATATCAAAACATCAAGTTGTATGCCATGGACATATACAATTACATGCTCACTTATATGTACATGCACATACACACAGTTTTCATGACAGTGGTATCTCAATATAGCTGTTAAAAATAAAATGTGATATGTACATAAGATGGAATACTATTCAGCCTTAAAAAGAAGGAAATTCTGGGCCAGCCCTGTGGCTCACTCGGGAGAGTGCGGCGCTGGTAGTGCGAAGGCCGCAGGTTCAGATCTTATACAGGGATGGCCGGTGCGCTCAGTGGCTGAGCGTGGTGCAGACAACACCGTGCTGAGGGTTGCGATCCCCTTACCGGTCAAAAAAAAAAAAGAAGGAAATTCTGGGCCAGCCCTGTGTCTCACTCGGGAGAGTGCGGCGCTGGTAGTGCGAAGGCCGCAGGTTCAGCTCTTATACAGGGATGGCCGGTGCGCTCAGTGGCTGAGCGTGGTGCAGACAACACCGTGCTGAGGGTTGCGATCCCCTTACCGGTCAAAAAAAAAAAAGAAGGAAATTCTGTAATACGTGACAGTATATGGATGAATCTTGAGGTTATTATGCTAAGTGAAATAAGCCAGTCACAGAATGACAAGTACTGCATGATTTCACTTATATGAGGTATATAAAATAGTTTATAGAATCAAAGAGTAGCGAGGTGGTCTCCAGAAACTGGGAGGAGGGAGAAATGGGAGTTACTAGTCAACCACCAGAAAGTTTCAGTTAAGCAAGATGAATAAGCTCTAGAGATCTGCTGTGCAACATTGTACCTATAGTCAACAATAATATTTGTACATTTAAAATTTTTTTGAGATTAGGTCTCATGTTAAGTGTTTTTAGCACAATGAAATCTATAGTTGGAGCTGCAGCTGGAGTTGGGCAAGGTACATGGACACCTGAGTGCCTTTCCTTCAGCTCTCTTCTTGTCTGGAACAAAAATACAGACGTGTGGAGTCATCATGTTTCTTCCCTGCAGAAAAGTCTCCTATCTTCAGCCCCTAATGGGCTTTTTGGTCCCCCAGCAGCTGGTGGGTTGATGCTGCTGGGCGCAGGTGCAACAGCCTGAGATAAGCGGGGAAACTGAGCATCCCTGTTGCTGAGGTGGCCAGCCCTACCTCAGCCCTTCTGGCTACCCCCAGCCATGGTCAGAGATGTCCTTCTGTATCCCAGATGCAGACATCTCATTGCTCTCTTCACCATCCTCATTACAATCCTCCAGTGGTCCTGAATCACTCTAGGGTTAAAATCCAAACTCAGTGCACCATTTGCAATTCATAGTGAATACACACATAACAAGAGTCCCAGAAGAGAGGAGAGAGAGAAAGCGGCAGAAAGAATGTTTGAAGAAATAACAGCCAAAAGTTTCCTAGATTTTGGGGAAAGCAAACTACACTTCCAAGAAGCTCAGTGTACTCCATAGTGGATCAACTCAAAGAGACCTGCACCAGGACACATCATAGTCAAACTGTCAAAAGCCAAAGACAGAGAGTCAATTTTGCAAGCAGCAAGAGAGAAAGGACTCATTGCCTATGAGGGATCTTCAGTAAGATTAGCAGCTGATTTCAAAAACCAGGGAGGCCAGAAGGCAGTGAGATGGCATATTCAAAGGCTGAAATAAAAAGGCAAGAATTCTGCATCCAGTGAAAATTCCAGCAACATCACCTGCTGTTCCCTCTGCTGGAATCCTCTTCTCCAATGTCTGCATGCCTCCCTCTCTCCTCTCCTTGAGGACTCACCTGACTGGTCCTAGGTAACAGTACACACAGCTCTATACCCATCTTTCCTGCTTCAGTTTTCTCTATAGTTATGCACGTCACCTTTATATACTCTAAATGTCTCCCCCTCCCCTGAGTGGAATGGAATCTTTCTGAGGGCAGTGATTTTTGTTTGAATCTTTTGTTCACTGCTACATCTCAAGCACCTGGAACAATGTCAGCACATACAGCTCTCAATAGATATTTGTTGAATGAGCAAGTGAATGAATGAATGTATGATAACACACATTATTACAACTGATTATAAATAATTATTGAGCTCTTATTAGGTATGGGATGGACTCTAGTCTTATTCCTATTTTACGGATGAAAGGATGGACAGGTGGCCTGGGGTCTGGTTGCTGTAAACAGTGGAGCTGGGAAGTCCCAATGGAGTCCAAGCTCTAAGCCCCTGACCCTTTCCTGCCCTCCTGGATTGTTGGCCCGTCTTTGGTGACACCCTCTGTTGTCAGCAGGAATCGTTGTTTACCTTTACTTGGCACTCATGGCTTTCATGTAGGGATGCTGGGAGATGGTCTACGGTTCAGGAAGTCCCAAAGTTAGAGAAAAGCCGAGAGTGCTTTGAACAAAGGTGAATGAATGATTGGGACCGTGTTTTATCATGTTTTAAGTTATACATTAAAGCCACAAAATTTTTAAAGACAAAAAATCATATACGACTTTATTTCTCAAATATTTTGCAAAAAGCATGTTTTAATTTTATAAGAAGAAAAAACAAAAGAAAACATCTTTTTAAAGTCTTATCATTTCCATAAAAATATTTCTGGTCTGTGGGTGGACACTTATTTAGGCTGAACCCAGCTCTGCAATAAATAGACACCCCAGGATGAGGAGGCGTTGGCACAGAGAACGTGTTTCGTGTTCTCATTGCAGACTGAGGGACGGCCCTTTCATGCAGGAATTCAAGAATTCCATCTTTCCCATAATGCAGCTCTGACCCCACCCAAGGCTTCATGGTCACCTGCATCCAGCTGGCGCAAGGGGAAAGAGAGGGTGTGGAAGGGCTTATGAACTTCTTAAAACCATGCCACTTCTTCTTGGGTGCTGCTGGCCACAACCCGGTCACGGGACCTCCCAGGGAAGGGGGCAGGCCTGGTGGATGGTGGGCGGCATCTCGCCACGTGGTATGAGGTCAGTGTGGGAGATGGCGAGCTCTGAATGGCTCCAGCAGCTAATCCCTTCTGACCTAGAGGGAGTCCTGCAGCTTCCTGAGCCTCAGTCTTCTCACCTGTAAAATGGGAACAAGGGAGCCTTCATTTCCAGCCTGCACAGAGGAATAAATGTGGTAATTTATTCTAAAGTAGTTTGTAGATGTAGACGTCTCTACAACTCTGGGGTCATTATTTCCCAAGTGACTGGGAGGAGGGTGGCCCTCTCACCCCTTTCTCTTGCAGCATCCTGTTTGCTGACATCGTGGGCTTCACGGGGCTGGCATCCCAGTGCACAGCCCAGGAGCTGGTGAAACTCCTCAACGAGCTCTTCGGCAAGTTTGATGAGTTAGCCACGGTAAGTGCAGCATTTTTCTTTGTTGAATTAAATTAGAATTGTTTCTGTAATAATAATATGCTGGGTGGGTTTCCTGTATTTTGAATGTGAACTAGACCGATTGCTAAGCAATTCTGCTGGCAAGGTTATACATCACCCATGTTTTTAGCCTCACTGTTCATTGATTTCTCTCCTCGGACCTGAGCCTTGCACTTGCCAGATAAGGAAACGCTTGCACAAGCATGGCCAGTGTGCCTACTCAGAAAGGCTTCCAAGCAAAAGACTTTGTTGTGCGGGCCACGCAGCCATTGTCTGCCCTGAAAGTGGCCTCAACACCATCCTGCCCTGGGGCAGGCAGAGCTGGGGTTACAATGCCTGGTTCTGAGGCAGCCATGCCTGCAGGCTCTGCTGGAGCAGGCCAGTGCTGGGCCTGCCGCCCTTCTGGTATTGACTCTTGCCTGCTGGATGCCCAGCTGCTGACCCTGACGATGCCAGGCCGGGGAAGCGGCCACCCTCACCATCGGCGCCTGGTTCTGAGGCAGCCATGCCTGCAGGCTCTGCTGGAGCAGGCCAGTGCTGGGCCTGCCACCCTTCTGGTATTGACTCTTGCCTGCTGGATGCCCAGCTGCTGACCCTGACGATGCCAGGCCGGGGAAGCGGCCACCCTCACCATCGGCAGGCTGTGTGTCAAGGGTTTTAAAGACCTTCCTGGGATGGGTCACATCTGGTAGCTAAGTCCTGCTGAAGGTCTGCCACTGCTGTGCTAACAGCCTCGGCTTGTCCACATGTGTGTTTGGATGTCGAGACGAGCAGCCAGCCAAACCTCCATGAGTGGCAAACATCCCCTCGGCCTTTGTGGCCCTTGTTGTGGGGAACTGGTCTGGGGTCTCAGGAGCCCTTTCTGGAAGTTAGCCATGTTGGCCACATAGCCCCTGAGGGGCTGCTGGTGTTCCTCTTCTCCCCACAAATGTGCCAGTGTTCCCAGAGCAGAGATGGGGCACACAAGGCCGGGTTACGAGCTGCAGGAGCCGAGGGACTGTCGCAGGCCTGGGAGAGCACGCTTGCTGAGCGACAGCAATACCCCAGTCCTTGTTTTTCCCTACTGCCCACAGGAGTATCTGGGGTAAATTGTACTGCTCATAGCAACAATCATATCAGAAGCTAAGAACGTGCCCTGTTACTATGTGGTGGGAATCCCCCCCCGCATCTGTCTGGCAAGTCCTCGCGGAGACTTTGCTCCTGGCCTGTGCAGGAGGGTGGCTTCTTTGGGAGGAGTGACCATATCCCAGAGGCCTCCCCTCTCTGATGGCACAAAGGGCGGGGTAGGGAGCCTGGGGTGTGAGGCTTGCTGGGGCACTGCTCACCTTGGTTTCCTTGAATGCCAGACACCCACTGTCCCTGTCCTGCAAGGACATGGCAGGAGCACAGGGAGATGGAGCCAAGTTCACCTTCCCGTGCAACCTCACTGGAGGTGGGCAGGGGGCATTGAGGTCGGTGGGAGAGGGAGTGGGCGGCAAGCTCTGTCCAGAGAGTCAGCAGCTTTCTCAGAAGAGACAGTGATGCAAGGTCTCGCGAGAAACAGTGGATGTTCCCTCGATGAAGGAGGGAAGAGGGGAGAAGCAGACCCCGGCCAGGGACAGGCTTGTGAAAGGTACAGAGCTTGGGCAGACTCGCTGTGCCTGGCAGCAGTTTAGGGGTCAACTGTAGGTGGGAGAAAACTTGGGAGCCTGTCGCAGAAACCTGGGGTAGGGAGATTACGGGAGGAGAGTTGGGTGGAGGGTGGGCACAGGGGATTTTGGACACTGCTCCCTTTGGGAGATTTCCATGGGGAAAAAAGGTCTTGATCCCCTGCATTGGGCAGTGGAGCCCGTTTCGCTTACGGCACCGCATGGATAGCCTGGGCCAGCGTTCTGTGGGACGCCACTTGGGAAAGGCTGTGTCATCTTTCCCAAGGATGAAGGAGGGTGGTGGTCTGCATTTGGGACGGTGCGCTTTCTGGCCGTATGTCGTTTTGTTGGGCATGGGGGTCACCTGTCTGCAATGCACTTGCAACCTTACTCATGCTGTCCACTGGCTTGTCCCCTTGATGTGGCTGTGGCCGTCTTCACACATGCCCTCGCCCTCTGTGGTGAGGCTGCCTGGCTCTTCCTTCCCGTCAGGTGCAGGCACCTGTGGGTTTCTGGCCCAGTGTGAAGTGGGAGGTGCATGTGGCTGATGCTCCCAGGAGGGACGGAGGGTCGAAGGCTCTCACAGACGCAGTGAGGGGCTTGCCTCCTATGTCTTCACCAGGAAGCTTGTCCTTTTGGAAACTTCTGAATGGAGGGTACTGCTTGGCCCCTCCTGGGCCCTTTCCCTCTCATTGTGCTCTGGGCTTGAGCTGCTGCCAGGATGGGGCTGGGCCCTGTGCCCCGGCCATCCAACTCTGTCTTTCCAGCATCGTTGTCCCCATGGGGCCAGGAGCCATGTTCAGTCGGCCCCAGCCCCTCTACTGTCCCCCCGGAGACTCCCCAGGGGCTCTCGTTCTCTCAGGAGGCACCTGCCTTGGGGAGTTCCCCTTCCCTGTCAGGCAGCTGATGGTGTCACCAGCAGGATGATGAGGAAGGGACAGACCTCAGTGGCCAGCGAGCAGGCATAGGAGTCCTTCATCCTCCCAGGCTGAGCTTGTCTGTTCATTCTCTTAACCGTGTCCTGCAATAGGCGGAAGTTTTTAGTTTTCGTGAAGTCCAATTTCTGAGTTTTTTTATATCAAGGATCAAAACATTGGTGGTGTATCTAGAAAAATCTTTGCCTAACCAAAGGTCACAAGAATTTTCCTCCTGTTTCTGGAAATTTTATATTTTGGGGTTTTGCATTTAGGGCTGTGATCATTTTGAATTTTAAAAAGATGGCTCCTTCTGTGTCTGGCTGCATGGGAGTCGTAAGGGAATGAAAAGTTGACTTCTTTCTGATTCTTATAATGCCCAACAATCGTTGTGGAAGACACAGACCTGAATCCTCATGGGACTCAGGATCTGCTGTGGAGAGGCCATTTTTCCACCGGCATCCCTGATGTCCCTGACATGGCATGAGGTGGGAAGACAGAGCCGGCAGACTGCAGGTGAGGTTGGTCAGCTTTTTTGCAGTGCCTGCCTTCTGCACCCCAACCTCCCCCTGCCATGCCTTGGGGCTCAGAGAGGAGCCAGAGAAATGGAAAGCCTGACCCTGGCCTGAGGGGGCATCATTTGAGAACTGACCCCAAATGCTCATACACACAGGAGAACCTGGGGGTGAGGTGCCAGAAAAGGAGTCTGGAGTCCGGCTTTAAAGCCCACCCCGTGAAGCCCACCCCAAGCTCACCCCACATACAAGTAGGTGCTTTCCTGGTGAAGCTGCCTTCTGCGGTGGGAGTGACAGCTGCAGAGTGAGGGGCCCCTGGGTGCTCCAGGGCTGTGTAACCAAAGCATGTCATCAGACATATTGGCCATCAGTAGTTTCACAGCACAAAATAGCGGGAAGGAGATGAGCTGTGGGAGCAGGTCCAGGCTTGGGGACTGGGCCTGTTGCTTCTCTTGAGCCCTGTCCTCAAAATCAGAGTAGAGCTTTAAGAGCCTGGGTTGAAAGTTTTGAGATTGGCTGTACTATGCAGCATGAGAAAGGATGCGAGGGCCAATTGGGCGCATGAAACTTTCTAATATCCAGCCGCGACATGATGTCATAGTCATTCTAGGAAGAGGCTTTCAGGGTAAAGCAGCTTCCCCAGGGCTGCTCACCTGGGGTCAGAAGCAGTGTCACTGTGGCTCCAAAGCCTGCTTCCCTAGAAGGAGAACTACTCTTCCTTCAAAGCCCCAAAGGCCATCTTCTCTGTGGGGCCTTGACCATTCGGCCTCTGACCTTTCTCCAGCCTTCTGTGGAATGGGGTGCATCCTGTCCCGCTAACACTGCTCATCCCATTATGATACTGTGTGCATGGCCCATTTTCCATCAAGTTGGTGGCCTCCTGTGGGCAGCCCAGTGCTGAGCAGGGAGCTGGCACACAGTGGCCATCCCTGCATGTTTATTAAGTGGGACAGTGCCATGCCTGGGTGTCCACTCTGATGGCCTCTGGACTCCTTGGCCTGTGATCTGAAGATGGGAGACCTCTGATGGTCAGAGGAGAGGCTGGAGTAGCCTGCACTGGACACCTGCTGGCCGGCGGCAACCTCATCTAGAGATTCCAAGCTGGCCTGGGAGCTTGGTTTAGAGCAGCAGCTGTGAAGTAAGCAACCTCCGGCTGGCTTCCCTGGATGGTCTTGGGTGTTAGATGTCGTGGGGATTGGAGGGCCGAGGCCGAGCTTCCCAGACCCGCGGCACTGACAGCATGCATGGCCTGGCTGAGGAGGACACAGCCCCTGGCAGGTTCCTGTCAGGGGCTGCTTTGCTGTTTCTCAGCATTTGATTGCAGGGCCATCGTCATGTCACCTGGGACACAAAAGAGCAGATTCCTGGGCTTGATCCAGAACCACTCTTCAGAGTCCCAGGGCCCAGGAATATGCATTTTACTAACTGCCCTGGATTTTTGCAGGCTACTCTCTAAGGCATGTGTTTATGTACAGACTCTGGGCCTTGGAGGCGGGTCCCTTTGCATCCACTCCCAGTTCCTGCTGGGGATGGGAGTGGGCCTGACCTGAGGAGGGAGCAGAAGAACATGTGACCAGAGCCCCCGCAGGGAGGCAGGACAGCCTGGGAGCTGCGTTTTTGTGTTTTCAGGAAAAATATTTATTGAGAAACGTCCTCAAATTTGTGTATTTCATGGAAGACTTAGTGACTACAAAGTGAATCTGACCATTTCCTAGCAAAGGTATAAACAGGTCTGTCTTCTTCCACCTGGCCTGCTTCTTTCTCCCAACAAACACCACCACATGTGGCCTCCCTCCTGTGCAGCTCCCATCACTGAGTGGAGTTCTGTGGGTCAGTACCTCTGTGCTATGCTGTCTCCACCTGCTCCAGCACCTGCTGGGGTGGCTACCGCAGCTCCTTGGGGTGAGCCTTCGTTCCCACCACAT